TTCTCCAGTAGGAAGAAAAATTTCAAGATAAGAAGGTAAAATGGAAATTGGCAATTTTAACTTTTGAGCAGAAGATGAGGATATGAAAGAATGAGAAGCCTCAGAGTCAAAAAGTACAGTTATAAGAGAATCTTGTATTAAGCCCGTACCTTGAACCAAGTTTAAAGCTTGAGCTGCTTTCTGACCATTTAAGGTGAAAACTCTTCCTCTTGTTGTAGGTTGGTTTGCTGAATTATGCCCTTGATTCTGAGGACAATTCCTCAACATATGTCCAGGCTCTCCACATTTAAAGCACACACCTCTTCCTGCCAAACATTCTCCAGCATGATTTTTTTTACATTTTGGACATACCTGAATATGGGAATTCGTCCGACCCGCATTCTTCTTCCCTCCATTGCTAGAAAAATTGGTTCCCGAGTTTTGCACCCGCGAAAACCTCCATTTGTTATTGTCATCACTCCTTCTTCGATTTAGGGCTATGTCCTTCTCTCTTGCATCCTCAGCCTCCTTCATACTTGCTTCAATGTCTCGGCACCTGTTTATTAATGATGAAAAATTCCTGATTTGGTGTCCTATTATCATACTTTTTGGTTCAGGTTTTAGTCCAGATTCAAATTTAGTTGTCAGCCATTCCTGATTAGGTTGATTCTGTATATAATTAGAATATCTAGATAATTCTTCAAATTTTGCCACATATTCTCCAACAGTCATGTTTCCTTGTTTTAGTTCAAGGAATTCTATTTCTTTTCTGTTTCTTACACTTTGAGAAAAGTATTTTTCTAAAAAGGCATCTTTAAAGATTGTCCAATTAATCCATGTTCCTTGGATTTTTGGTATTTGTCCACCAATGCTCTGCTTCTCCAATCAAGAAGTATGTGGCAAAGTTTACACAATGAGTATTAGGACAGTCCATTACCAGGAATATTTTCTCAAGTTCTTTTATCCATTCCATTACTGCCTCAGGGTTATAGACTTATAGTCTCCACGAAAAGTGGATGGTTTATGCTTACGAAATTCTGTAAGTCCTTTGTAGTCAGAATTAGGTCCTTCCGGAGCATTGACAATTCTAGGTCCACTTTCACTTTCATTATTATGGGTGTGATTTCTGGTTGAACGATCCTCCCTCAGCTCCTGAATATTTTGCTGATTAGTTACAGTTTGTTCTCTAAAAGCTTCTGCCACACGGGTAAATGCATCAGTTACTGGGTTAATTTCTGGTTCAGAAGTTGAAGAAGATATCTGCAATAGATCTACATATATTGTTTTATGATAGTGAGTTGATCAGGCTCAGTAAAATAATTCAAAATATGCATGACCATTGACAGAATACCCAACAACTATAATAGTTTAGGTCCTTTATTAATCTGAACCGCTGCTCTGATACCATAAAATGTAACATCCCTTAATGTTAACCTTTGTAAGGAATATTGCATATTCTCTTATTTTATGTATATTTTCGCTTTATGCACATTCAGTGAGAAATAAGATGAAAAGGAGTTAATGTTATTAATTAATACATATTGATGATAATAACAGTAAAGAAAATTATATAAACATCTACCAACATTACTTTATAGATAATGTTACGTCAGGTACAAAAGGAAGTTATTTTACATAGGTCCTACAGTCTACTAAATATTACATCACTTCAGTTTATATTTTACATACTGACATCACATAATTATACAATACAAGAGTCTTATCCTAATCTAGTCTATAGGTGTAAGTCTCCACACTCTCAGCATAGAATATCGAAACATCTCCTTGATTTCCTACTACAATATAAAACTCCATGCGATCCTCGTAAGAGTAAATATTGATACTCCATCCTTCTCCTGATAAGCTTAGATTAGGCATTATGATTTTCTGGAAAGGTTAGCAAAAAACAAACACACATGAGATAAATCTTAGTAATATTGAGGTTTCTAACTATAATCATTTCCAGCCGTAATAACGAAAAATACCATTCTCTCAGATAATTTAATAAAATGAAATAATATAATAAATAATACATTGTGTAATATTTAACTGAAGCTAAATAATTTTCCAACTTTGTGGTCTTCTACATATGAAAATACCACCTCTCAAACAACGAGTCTCACAACCCTTTCAACTCAAGAATACAACGAAGAATATATTTAGAAATGAATATACACTCTCAAAGTGTGGATATACAACTTTAAGCACTATGGGTATATGGATTTTCAAGATATGAGCTCAAATATGTTTGATCTTTGAAAGATATGAAATAATATGCAAATGATAGTGTAGAAGCTCTCAAAGTATGCTTAATATGTGTAGAAATGATGTCCAATGTTTTTGAGTCATTGGGAATGCATATATAGTGTTTTCATTGAAAACTAGTCGTTTATAGTCGTTGGGAAACTAGCAGTTGGGATCTCATTTGAAAAACTAGTCGTTTTATAGCTGTTTATAGCCGTTGGGATCACTTTTGAAAAATAGCCATTTTATAGCCGTTGGGATCTGTTTCCCAACTTGACAGCAACAACACTGTTTCGTATTTGGACTATAATTTGAGTTATACATGTCGGCTTGATGTGAGCCTGGTCTCGTTGGAAAGATAAAAGATAGATCTACAACTTTTATGAAGAACACAATATCCAAATCCATCATCTTAGATACGAAAAATTGTATGGAAGACAGCTGCGAAATTAAGCAACCAATTTTAAGTTCAAATGTGTTCTAGCTTGCTTCCAACTACTTTTTGTGAAAGATCTTGACTTGATAAATATGTTTTGAAGGTATACAATATGTCAAGGATTTTTTCCTTGGATTTTTCAAATTTCTTTCAAGTATACAAAATTTATGATTATGCAATTTGAAAAACACGTTTAATTTGAGAAAAACTTTGAGCTCATGCAATGCAATCTATCATATACCCTTACATATATTCTAAGTCCTAAAGATATATTCTAAATATAATTTTAGACTTAGCTTCATGTCTTGTGTCTTGGATCTTTACCTGAACTTGAGGCTTTGACTTGTTGAATATGACAATACTTGACACTTTGTTGGTTTTGATCATTTGTCACCATGGTTATGATATTGAGCTTCTCTTAGATGTTGTTCATGGTTAGTTGTCTTTGATCTTGATGTTGCTCTTCTAATTATTCCTTGTTGCTCTTGATCCAATGATCTTGTCATTTTGATATGACATCACTTTTCTTGTGTGGCTACATCATACATCTTCAATATCCACATCTGGTTGATATTTTTTGCTCTTGATCAATACTCTTATCTTTTTGTTGTTGCCACTTTGTTATCATCAAAACATACCTTGTATCTACTCTATACAACCACATATTGCATGTCATCCATGTGTCACATATGCACCATTCTCGCTGGGCAGTTGACCGAGATATATGCAGCCACTACCCTATATAAATTCCACCAACCCCACCATCGATCACTCTCAACCATCTCACTATCTTTCTACAAGTATTTTCTCTCTCTACAAAATTTTTCTATCTAATTGTGGATTTTCATTTTACGGTTAGTTTTTTTTTTGTTATTATTAGCATGTGTTAATATTAAAAATCATAGGATAGATGACATGTTTGATACAATTGAAAGAGTTGTTCTCAATATAGTTTTTTTTTTAATACAGTTCCCCATATAGGTTTGATTGTATTTTTTTTTGGTAGACCGGTTTGATTGTATTTAAACTAGATTAAATTGATATGAATACAAAAAATAAATAAAAAGGAAGCGTAATTTTCTTATTATAGCAAAGAAACTTAATAAAAAACAAGGTATTACTGTGACACGTTCACTAACAAAAAATCCTTTTGTAGCGAATCACTTATTAATAAAATAATTACATTTTACAATATAAAGTAAGGGTTCGTTTTGGGGCGAAAATCATGGTATTTTTATATTTTTAAGTTATTTCAGGATTATTATTGTATTTATAATTATAATTTTTTAATGTTTTAATGCAAAAACGATGTCGTTTTGAAAGTGAATGCAGATAACTTATCTGCAGCCCTGAATTTGATATTCCTTTTTTTTTTCATTCCTTTTTCTTTTTCTCATTATCACTTTTCCAGTTTTCTTTCTTTTTCTCATTCACATTCTTTTTCTTTTTCTCATCTTCACTTTTTCAGTTTTCATTCTTCTTCTCATTCACATTCTTTTTCTTTGCCTCATCCTCTCTCTTTTTTTTGCTCATTCCCCTTATGTACTTTTCTTTTGTATTCTAATAATTCATCCACTCAATCTAGAAACTATGCACACCCATACATAAAAAAGGTGCAGAAATATTTGTCTGATAAAGTAATTTTACAAGACAAGTTTTCGCCAATTAATTTTATTTTTAAAATAAATATATTAATTTATAATCTTTAAATAAATTAAAATTATGATACAATTTAAATTAAATTAAAAATAAACACATAATTAAATTGGGAAAACTTATACTTACTATCTTTTTTTTTACTTACTAATTCTTACTACCAAATCTTAACCATGATTTTTGTTAATCTAATAATCTATTGAAAATTAATAATTAATTAATAAAAGTGATCCAATAAATTATAATGGTTAAATTAACAGAGATAAACGATTAAGATTTGATAATAAGAGATAATAATAAAAATAATAAATATAACCTACCCAATTAAACTTGGGAAAAGTGTGTATCATTTTAAACGATGTAAAATTGTGTCATTTTAAATGAGAAAAAGAGATAGATAAAAGAGGAAAGAGAGTGGACAAAACAATTTAAAAGCGTGAATCCCACCTCTTTGTAAGAGTGAAAAGATATAAGTTGTATCATTTATAAGATAAACACTTTTTTTCATTAAACTTCCATACAAAAAATTGCTTGAGCAACTAGGCTCACAGTTTTTTTAACAAACCAAAAAAAGACAGCACTAGAAAGTCCTAGTGATTGATGTGGACGCAATATAAGGAAGAAAGAAACTCCATAAACGAAAATCAGAAGTGGACATACTGGAAATCCACGTGGCTGATCTGTTGTTTCCTCCATAAAAATTACCATAAAAGCATCAAAATCAAATTAAAGTAAGGATTACATGACTTTCGGAACGTGTCACAGAATTCTCGCCTTCTACGAATATGGCATCGCGCGTCAGCATTGGCAGTCTTACCTCTACACCATCCTATATAAATTCCCTTCTTTTTCGGTCACCTGTTAAGATTTCAAACCCATCATTGCAAAACGGTTCAATCATGCGTCCCAAAACCGTTCTAGTAACAGGCGGCGCCGGTTACATCGGCAGCCACACCGTTCTTCAGCTTTTGCTCGGCGGTTTCAAGGCTGTCGTCGTCGACAACCTCGACAATTCCTCCGAAGTCGCCATCAACAGAGTCAGGGAGCTCGCCGGTGAATTTGGGAATAACCTTTCCTTTCACAAGGTGCTCCTCCTGTTTTCTGTTTTATACAATTTCGATCTGTTGCATGCCTTTATGTTTATCAAAATTTGATTTTTTTTTTTATGGTTTTTGTTTTTCGAGATTAATGATTTTGGCGATTTAGGTTTCCCAATTCGGGTTTTGCTGTTTGAATTTTGTAATTCGTCTGGACTGGATATTTGTGCAATTTTGCAATTGCGGTCGGTGGGTCCAAATGGCAAAAGTTTTGTGCTTTATTCCGTCCCGTGCCGTTGCGCGTTAGCAGACGGCGACAGTTTAAAGTTTTTAGAGTAATTGGATTAGGTGCTCTGTCTGTTTCAAATTCATCCCAAAAGTTCACGATGTACTTTTTGATGTGATGTCGTTTTGGAGAACGGTGTTTATTTTGTAGTTAGATCCAATCTCGTTCTTGTGGTTTCTATGATGTCTAATTTGATTTACAATTTGGAATTTTATATTATATAGTTTCTCCTATCTATAAGGTTTTTATAAATGAATAAAGTTCAGTTGTCACAGCTGGTTTTATCTGGGCTATTTCGAATCTACTGTACATGTCTTATTTACGAATATTCTAGTTGTGGCAATTATAGATGCTAAGCACTTTAATCATTTAATTTTACATGTTGCTCAAGTGAATTGGAGCATATTTGCAATTAGTTTATTATAGTGATGACTGACTGTTTTTATTATATTGTGTCCACTGCAGGTAGACCTCCGAGACAGAGCTGCACTAGATCAAATTTTTGCTTCCGCACAGTAAGGATTATGATAGAATATTTGTTTTTCTTTTGTCGGTGCTTAGGATATTACGACAGAAGTTTCTGTAATAATGACAAAAAAAATAAAATTCATTCCTTCCTGTTGGTGCTTCATGTTCTCTTACAGTTGTACTTGATCATGTATCTTATAGCTGCTTCTTATCTATTTCTTTTCTCGTAGGTTTGATGCTGTCATACATTTTGCTGGACTGAAAGCAGTTGGTGAAAGTGTGCAGAAACCGTTACTCTACTACAACAATAACTTGATCGGGACAATAACTCTATTGGAAGTCATGGCTGCCCATGGATGCAAGAAGGTAAATTCCTTGTGCATTTTTTTGGTCCTGCATGATAGACTTCAACTGCATGGAAAGAGTATTATTAATATTCTCAGACTTCTATGGCACTGTAATGTCTTTTACTTGTTTTCTTATTTTTTTGTTTTAGAGTTCCTTCTTATCCCTTGGAGTACAACGCGTCTATTGCCAATTGAATTGCCTTACGTATTGCTTGTATATTTTATTTAAATTTCAGTTAAGTAGTTGACTCTAACGGCCATGAAGGAATATATTTGACTAACATTGTCAAATATTCATGGGGCTCGAGTTGTTGCTTTTGCTGCTGCAACTGCTGTTGTTTTTTCGAGGATGTTTAAGCTACTCACGGGGCTCTAGACATGTTGCTTATGCTCCTCATGTCTCCAACAGCCATGAATATACTAACATTGTCAAATATTCATGGGGCTCGAGTTGTTGTTTTTGCTGCTGCAACTTCTGTTTTTTTTTTCTAGGATGCTTATGCTCCTCACTATTGTTTGACAATTTATATGCGAGACTGGAAGGGGAGCCACCTTGTTCAATCTCAATATGAAGCCTTGTGGTCCTTAACGGGTTACTGTAATAGTTTTTTTGTTGTGATAGTGGGAAAGTATTAAGCCCTTAGGTTAACACTGTATGTTGACATTGAAGTGTCTTGTGAGGTTGGTTATGTAGTTTATTTTATTGCCTTGATGCTGCATTCTGCTTATTTCACTGATTTTGTATATATTTGAATTATTTCAGCTTGTGTTCTCATCTTCAGCCACTGTATATGGTTGGCCTAAGGAGGTTCCATGTACAGAAGAGTTCCCTCTGTCAGCAATGAACCCATATGGACAAACTAAGGTATGACTAGGAAACTTTTAAGGGTATTTGTTGTAAAGTGAAACTGGGTTTTCATTCGAATTCCGTCTTTGCCAACTATTGTCGGGGTCTTCTACAAAAATCTTTTATAATTTGGTAAATATTATTTTTGTTAAGGAGGATCCTCTATCCTCCAAATTATTTGTAATTTTCATCTTTTTGTCTTAAGGACATCCTCCTTTTCTCAAAACTAAAAAAAATTCTTGAATATTGTTTATATTAATGCTTGTCTTTGAAACTTGCAATGATATCTGATAAGAGTTTTGACTGTCAGCTTATCATCGAAGAAATTTGTCGCGATGTCCACCGTGCAGAGCCAGAATGGAATATAATATTGTTGAGATACTTCAACCCTGTGGGTGCACACCCTAGTGGTTATATTGGGGAGGATCCTCGCGGAATTCCAAACAATCTCATGCCATTTGTTCAGCAAGTAGCAGTTGGCAGACGGCCTGCATTGACAGTTTTTGGAAATGATTATAATACAGTTGATGGCACTGGGGTATATTCTCACTGGCTTTGACTTTTCTACTAAAAATTTTCCTTGGAAAGGAAATTTGCATGAATTTTTAGCAAAGCTCACACCATGCACCTCTTCTCCCTTTGGATTAGAATATTTTGGTTCGTTACAAGTTACACATCCTGAGCTACCTTAATTATAGTTGGGTCATTTCATGTGCACAATGTCTCCCCATCTCCCCATTTGAATTCCCCTGATAGCATTTCTGCTTAAGTGAACTACCTTCCCTCGTTGGATGGTTTCTGTTGGGTGCATGTATTTATTTCCCATTTTGGAAGATCTACTTTTGGTTTCATCACCGAGGATCTTACTCTGTGGTCTTATCTTTTTCTCAGGTTCGCGATTACATTCATGTTGTTGATTTAGCAGATGGGCACATTGCTGCATTGCTTAAACTAGATGAATCTAATATAGGTATTATTCCAAATTCATCAATATCTTCATATAGTTTACTCTGTCTCAGTTCTGGTAAATTCGGAGGCAGTGCCAATGTGGCAATTTTATTGTGGTAGAATTTTATGACTTTAATTTTCATGGTGTGTGTACACAGGTTGTGAGGTTTATAACTTGGGAACAGGAAAGGGAACATCAGTTTTGGAGATGGTTAGAGCTTTTGAAGAGGCCTCGGGAAAGGTAAAAATTAATGTTTCTTTTTCTGGTTTGTATCTGTCACCATAATCCTTGTGGTCACTTTAATGCCTATTTTTAAAGCATTTTTTTGATCACGTGCTTCCCCCCCACTTGTCGGGGATAGAGTAAACTTTATGTTTTATGGATTTGAAACCATAGTCTAAATCGGTGCACTTATAGTTGAGGATATATAGCTTCTTGAAGTTAAATTGGTTGCTTTAATATCAGTTACCATGCTTTGATAGTTTGATGTATGGAGTGCTATGGAAACATGAGAAGTGAGCAACAAAGTGTTCTATAAACCCAATATTTCTCCTCTGAGATTCTTTCTATCCAACTTATCTTTCAATTTTTTATATTCATAAAACCTAGACGACCTTGAACCAGGTCGTATATGATATATTTGGATTGAGCTATTCTTCAGTACATTAATAACTAATTCTTGTGATTATTTGTTTAGAAAATTCCACTGGTGATGGCTGGCCGGAGACCTGGTGATGCTGAAATTGTTTATGCATCAACGGAGAAAGCAGAAAGAGAACTTAAGTGGAAGTAAGTGTTAATTTGCTTTCAAAAGTATTGGCTCATGACATTTAACTGATCTTTAGGCTTTGCTTTCTAAATTATTGCCTGCAGTGAACATTATCACGTTGTTGATAGTGATCGTCTCCCTCCTGATTATACTGGCTAGATATTAAGTGCACATTTTTTTGTAACGAAACTTTCACGTACATTTCTGTCTCCTCAAAATTCAAATTTGCAACTGTCATATTAAGGAACATTTTCATTTTATTGATGAATTCTGGGAGCTCTTCTGGTCCTTACCTTTTTCTCACAAAAAATTATCTTACGTGGCAGGGCAAAATATGGCATTGTTGAGATGTGCCGTGATCAATGGAATTGGGCTAGCAAAAACCCCTATGGTTATGGGGACTCCGCCGATTAACGTTGATAATTATTAAATATACTATATGTATAATTCTCTTTTGGGTTCTTTTATGAACTCTGTCACACCATAGGTCTTGTGAATTTAGTTTTACCTAAACTTTTTTTTTAGCGATTTAAAGATGTCAAAGTACTTAAGTTATTATGATTTCTAGGTACATGGTAAATACGTAGCGGTTTACTTCACTGTAATTTAAAGGTTCTCTAGGTTCCGCCTTAAGGGCTATTGGTTATTACTTATTAAATAAGGAATCTCTCATGTGGAACATGATAGTGTCCTCTTTTGTAAAGTTTTACCTGAAGCTTTTTTTTAGCGATTTTAAGGTGTCTTTAAGTTATTATGATTTCTAGGTACATGGTAAATAAGTAGTGGTTTACTTTACTGTAATTTAAAGGTTCTCTAGGTTCCGCCTTACAGGCTATTGGTTATTAGATAAGGAATCACTCGTGGAACATGACAGTGTCCTATTTTGTAAATCTAAACCCCACACATTTTTTTTAAACCTTGTCTAACTGTTTATCCCACCTCATTACCCAGATTATAGTGTCCTCTAACTGAAAAAGAAAATTTCTCCGAAAAAAATGTATTAAGAGTAGCGTATAGTTATAATATTAAGGTTATTTTATTTTTTTTACTCTTCTCAGACATTGTCGACTTACATAGTGGAGTGAAAAAAAATAATTTTTTCCATTATAATTATGGGAATAACATGTGTCATTTTAAAGGATATAAGCTTTTATTATTTTAGATCATAACCGTTGATTTTCGTTCATCAACGGTTATAATTTATTTGATCAAAATTATTAATTAATTAATAATAAATTTGGCCCATTAAGTTTGACCCAATAGTTTATAACCGTTGATGGACAAAAATCAACGGTTAGAATCTAAAATGATATAAGCTTATATCCTTTAAAAGGATAGATGTTTTTTCCTATAATTATATATTATTTGTAATATATAGTTATTTTTTTTTTTACAGAAGATAATTTTTTTTCAACATGAGAAAAATGGAATCCTAAAATTTATTATTAGCAATTTTTAATATGAAATTTTGAATTAATTCTCTCCTAGTCTCCTATTTGTATTTGCTGATCACAAGCACTTTTGTGCAATTTCCGATAGGCTCCACCCAATTGCTGACAATAGGCCCATAAGAGATAACTTGGGCTTGTTAAAACATCTTCATGGTTTAAGTGCTTGTTTAGAAATGCTTAAATGATGGAATAGTTGTTCTTCTTCTTTCAAAATCTGGGAAATATGCTAAAAATAAGCAATTACTTTTTTAAAAATAAATTTATTTAAACTTGGATGAAGCATACTCTCTGTACAATTATTATGTATGATACTTAGAAGGTGTGCAAGTCGGATATTAACTGCAATCTTTAATCCGAGAAATTTTATTTGAACCTGAAACTTGAACCCGGGCTATGACTTGGGAGCTTAGGTCTTGCTAGAAAATAAATTACAAGTAGTAGTCATAAATTAGAAAACAAAAGTGTATTTTGACATTGCGTTTAATAGAAAAAACCGTGCATATTCTTCAAGTAATAACTTCTAGTTATTTATTCACTCACGGTATAGAAAATTGTGTTAATTACACTCTTACATCAAAAGAATAAAAGCTTAATTTATTTCTTATATATTAAATTACATTTTTGTAGTGATTAAATTTTTATAATTTATTTTTTACAAAATGATAAATGTCATTTTTATTTTATTAAAATTTAAAATCTTTTGAATTAATTATAAATATTCTTTAAAAAATTAATTTTTTCGTTTAATTTATAATTTTATATTTTTTCTAATTGGTTATACATATAAATTTAAAACGTTTACGTTAAATATTTTTCTTAAAAAAATATTTGTATGAAAATTTCTTATCGTTTTGTATTATTTTGTACCGAGTGTCACAATTATATAACTCCACTGAAATAGATACTAATGCATTCACTTGTTTTGATTGTAAACTTTAATTGTAGCATACGTTATCTGACCATTAAATCATCAATAAATTCAAATGAAAATTTAGGGAATTGTTATTCGTTTTAATTTTATTCTATCAACATACATTAATGAAATTTTCAAGGAACTAAAGGAGGTTTTTTGAACATATTTTTTGCATTAAATTAATATACATTTTTCAATAAATATTATTATTCTCATTTCTATGTAGAAAATAATGAGATATTAATACAATTGTATGTCACTAATTAATGTTGAAATCTTTTTCTACCTATATTATGTTTAAAATTCGAATTTTGAAAAAGTAGTGTGGGTATTTTTTTTGGTAAGCAGTAGTGGGGGTATTAATATAGATGTTTGCCACCAATTAATGCTGAACTTTTTTTACTTCTATATTAAGTTTAAATTTTGAATTTTAAAAGTTAGTGAGATTTTAATAGGCCTGGCAAATACCAATGCAGGAGTTAGTGAGATCTTAATTGAATTTTTAAATTTAAAATAAAAATTTGAAATGTTATTATAATAGGAAACATTTCAAATTCCTGTGAGTGTGAACACAAAGCTGAAAATAATTTAGAAATTTGAATTTGATATTACGAATCAAGACAATTACAATATGAGAAGTTGAAATAATAATTATTTTCTGGGTACAGAAAATAAGAGCCTCAAACACAACATAATGAAGAAACACTCTGTAAAAAAAATATGAAATTAATATGTTATGCTATTAGGAATTTATCCATCGGTTACAAATTCTTTTTCAACAGCAAGACAAAAAACTATTCACAGGCATCGAAGATATTGAAGACAAAAAACACAGGCAAGCACTACACAACATCGAAGACGTTGAATACAGACAAAAACTATTCACAGTAACAAGAAACATTCCACCCTGAAAAACGAAAAAAAGAGAATAAGTATACAGAATACAAAACAAACAAAAGAGAATTAGTATACAAAAAATAAAAACGAATTAAGATCTTTTGTTTATAAAGGAACCAAAAAAAAAATGCAACATCAGCTGCAAAAACGAACGAAGAAACAAAACATAGGCAAAAACTATTCACAGTAGCAAGAAACCTTCCGCCCTGAAAAATAAAAAAAGAGAATCAATATACAGAACACAAAACGATCAAAAGAAAATTAGTATACAAAAAATAAAACGAATTAAGATCATTTGTTTATAAAGGAACAAAAAAAAAAATACAACATCAGCTAAAAAAACGAACGAAGAAACAAAACACAGGAAAAAATTATTCACAGTAGCAAGAAACATTTCGCCCTGAAAAAACAAAAAAAGAGAATAAGTATACAGAACACAAAACGATAAAAAGAAAATTAGTATACAAAAAATGAAAACGAATTAAGATCATTTGTTTATAAAGGAACCAAAAAAAAAAATACAACATCAGCTACAAAAACGAACGAAGAAAGAAAACACGGGCAAAAACTATTCATTGTAGCCAGAAACCTTTCGGCCTGAAAAAGAAAGAAAGAGAGAATGAGTATAAAAAACACAAAACGAACAAAAGAGTATAAACAACAATACCTACAAACACAAACGAAGAAATGAATCGGAGGCACTCTCCCATGACGTAAATGAATCGGAGGTTCTTCCTTGATTTGCTGTTAGTGTTCGTCTCTTTGGGCAATTCACACAACTCTCCCCTTTTCTTCTCAGACAACCTCAACTTCCTTGTTTTGGAAGACGAAAAGAAGAAAAAGAAAGAAGCTATTTTTCTCAAGGAAACAATTAGCAAAAATTGTATACAGGACAGAAGAACGAAATAACAATGCACAACGTTTCTTTTTATAGACGACGCAAGCAACAAAAGAAAAGCAATCAGAAATTAAATGAGCTGTCTGCCACCCAAAACTTTCCAAATCTCTTCCCACCATCCATATTTTAAATTCAAATTTTCAAATCATTTCAAAATTCGAATTTTAAATCAGCTGAGTAATAATTCCAATGTAAAAAACAATTAAATCAGCTGACCAATTCCAATGTGATGGGCAGTGGGATATTCAATGCCTTGTATGCCACTACAAATGGTCATTTATTTTTTGATTTAAAAAAAAAAATTGATTTTTAAAAGAAATTATTTTTCCAATTTACCAAAGAAGAAAATTTTTATATGACATGTAGTGTGAACACAATTTTCAGAATTAAGCAGGGAGTGACACATCAGCGAAGATTCCAACATTGAACTCTCCTTTATATATATATATAGATCTTAACAGTTCATTTTCGTCAATGTAACTGTTATAATTTATTGGGTTATAATTATTAAATTCTAATGAATTATAATCATTAAATTAACAAAAATCAATAATTAAGATTGAATTATAAGAATTTGTAAGCGAAAAAAAATTATAACTATATCCTTTCTCCTATTTAATTACATGACATATATTTTTTAAAAGCTTGAGTTGAAACTGAAAGTCTATTTAAAAGCCTACCTTTTTTTTTTTTTTTTTGTAATTTAAAGCATACTTTATACTATTGTTTTTAAATAGGCTAAGCCTCCCCCTAAATAGGATAACACGCCTAACACTAATATGAATTCGGAACAATACTATAAAAATTTGATATAATAATAATATATTATTATTTATATTTAGTTGCACTCTAAAGTGGCATTTTGAACGACTAAAAACACAACGTTATCCATTTCTTTTTAAAAACAAAAGCCTTGTATGCCCAGTTTATTTAGAAAATAAGTCTAAAGTTAAATTAGGCCTAATGCGAATCAAGTCATACCCTCACACAAGCTATCTTGGCCTATTCGGTAGTTAGGTTAATTGTAATTTAACTTCAATTATAACCTCACTATAACGAGCTTTTTTTTTTCAATCTAATCAAATACGAATTAATAGAATAATTTTATTTTTATATTCTCTACCGACCTAATACTCACCACCTTGATTTGGTCAATTTACTTCTTTTTTTCCCCAGCCAAGTCAATCGAACTCTATTTCATTATTTTTCAATTTGAACAGTATTATATTTAACTAATTACATAAATTTACATAAGTACATATTATAGTTCTACATATTTGGTTGTTCTATTTTCTTCCTAATAGTTTAATGTATAATGTTTCATTTTTTTATATATAATAAGGTCATAAAACGTAACCATGTTTAAAAAAAAAAGGTTCATTTTTTCAATAGTGACTGCATACAACTTATTTGTAGTGAGCTCAAAACATATCATTTTAGGGCAAGAAAAGGTGTATTGGTAATTTATTTAAAAGTTATAATAATCTTTATTATTCTTGCACTGAGCTTAAAGGATGGACAATGTACAAGTCCACTTACATGTGATAAGAAATTTTCATGTAAAGAACCAATTTATCCCAAAAGTTTAAACTGGTGGTTGAGAGCTTTTTAGTGATTTATACCATTCTCTGACACAGTAATTTCAACTCAAAACCTTAAGGTTTTGTTTGTGAATTAGTTTTAGGAGAGAAATGAAAGG